ACATAATAATATTAGCTTTATCTCTTATCTAAGAAGTATCGATGGGTTTGCCAGGTATAGAAGATCTCATGTAAAAGAAGTTGCACACAAGTATACCTTATGAACGCTAAATATAGCTTTCTCGAAAGAAAACTGTAGTATCTATAGTTAAAAAAGTCTCGGTTCCGAAAAAAAGGAACCGTCTACAGAACCGCGGTTCCGGTTTCCGACGAAGAACCGAAAACAACAGAACCGCGATTCCGGTTCCATTCTTAGAACCGGTAGCACGGTTTCGGTTCCCGATGAAGAACCGAAAGCAAGAGAAACGCGGTTCCGGTTCCTTCTGTAGAACCGAACCGCGGTTCCGGTTCTTAACGAGAACCGAACATCCCTAGTGTTGAGTTGATACGTGAAACTCTATATTGTAGTCACTTGCAGCTACCGCTGGTAAAATAGAAACTGCGGTCATAAGGTGTATATTACTTGAAACAACTAAATCTAAACATGTGGGAGAACTGAGTCTTGAGTAACTGAATATCGCATATAAAGAAATTAGGGAGTGAATATTATTCATTTCCTAATTTCTTCCGATATTCAGTAACTCATAGGAGACACAACAAAGGACTGTCATGGTGATTTCTTCGTTGTGTCTCCTATGAGTTACTGAATATCGGAAGAAATTAGGAAGTGAATAATATTCACTCCCTAATTTCTTTTTTTTTCAAACATTAAAAGGAAAAAAAATGTCAAGCACGTGGATCATCAATTTCTTCCTTTTTAGCAAAACTCGACCAAAACATATACGATCCATATACTTTCTGCTGCGAATTAAACATGGACCGATCAGTGACAAATAAAACATCACTCCTGACCGTCTATACCATGCTTTTTCCCGCCGAAAATTTGTGAAATGGACGCTAAAAACCAACTTTTACGCAGAAGCAGACTCATATCTCAGTTTTCTGAGTTTTAAATTCAGTTGAGACAGAGAACTGTATCAGCCATTATAATCTTCCATCTTTTGATGTTGTCTCCAGTGGTCCACATTTGGTGGTAGACTGTGGTATGATACCGTGTTTCGGCCAGCATAATAAATAAGGTGAAATTAATGCTGACCATCAAAACACTTTTCTTCAACTAAAGTCCTCTTTGATTGTCCGATAATTTCGCAAGTGCATAAATAACTTAGACTAATAAAACACTACTTTATGAGCTCATATTTCGATGTAAAAGTCAACATCTTTCGGTTATTCATTTGGGTAAATAATTACGGTTCCGAAGAACGTGTCCTAAACAATATAACAACGATATACATTTAATTATAATACTCGTGATTGGCAGTATCCATCTCGGGCATGCAAGATTAATGGACCTCTCGTGATTCACTCACATACATTTATACATGCATTCGGGGTTGTCCCTTTTTTTACTGAGAAACTGATTTTACTGAACTTTTCTGATTGGGTGATAGAAAAATTTACGCTCTGATGACTCAGAAACTCAGTTCAGTTCAGTTCAGTTTCTCAGTAAAAAAAAGGACAACCGCATTCGGCTTGCGAGGTGCAGGTCTGAAAATGTAAATCATAGGACGTGTCTGTATTCGTTCATGTACAGGCAATGCACGTATCAAGAAATTGGTCGTCGGTAAAAAATGAACGAATCATAGTGAAGGAAAATAATGTCAGAAGTGCTCCTGTGATTTACTATTAAATCTGAAAACATCCTTCGTCTGATCACCTTACCGTCACATTTTAGAAGAATTAATTCAGGCGTTTTCTGTGATCTGTCATACGTTAAAAACACAATACTTTGAGACGTCATTACTGCCAAGTCTCAAGTTTGAACTATTCATTCTGTCCAAAGGGCATACGCATAGCATTTGTAATCGAATGGCTGAGCTTGAGAAAATTTGTTTGCTTACACCTCACAGTTTCCTGGTCGATGGTTGCTGAGACACTATTGGTCTTCTTTTAAATTGTAAGAAAATAAAACTAATGAGAGGTGACAATTATGAGACGATTCTGGACGTATTCAAACGCGTTGAGACAGAATTTTTATATGAAAGTAAGAACGTGTAAATTAAAAATTAAAATTTCTATACTTTCTAGTTAAGTTGATAACTAGAAATAGATGGGTGATACTAAAAGAGTAATGAAAAATGTCTGAGTACAACGTAACAATACTCATTCGTGCTGTGAGTACATATGATAGGGACCAGAGCTTTTTGCTCGAATCGCGATCCCATGCTCCTGGTCATGTCCAACTATAAATCATTAGCTTGAACATGTCGCTGATATTGCTTACAAATTTTGTTTTATATGTTCTTTTGCTTGAAGTGATTTAAGGAAGTGCTATATTATGTACTATGTTTACATTAGGTTAGGAGAGAACAAAAAAAAATACCACCGTTTAGATGTACGATTAAAATACAGAAATTAGAGAGAGAGATATTTTATGTTTCTTTTACATTTGCTTTATACGATATGTTGTGCCACGTTTGATGATATTAAAGTTTTCTTTTTCATCATTTAATTTGTTCTGAGAAAAAAAGAAAAATATAGTCTTGAAATATTATGAGTATGATTTTTTACCTATAAGAACGGTATGCTGTCTGCATTTTAACAAGTTTTCTTTTTACATTTTTCTTTTCTGGCTTTACGGCATAACATAAAGTACACAATACATGCATTGCCGAATGTCATGCATCATTGAGCGAAAAATAAAACAATTTTTTGATTTTCTCATCTATAGTCAGTCATTCATAGTTCAAAATTTGTATTAAGTAAAATAGCACAAAAGGTTATAAAACTTTGATGAAATATTTGTTATATTTATGAACAATTATTAAGAAATAAATAAGAAACTTTCACATCTTAATGTGAGACTTGTTATAAGAGTGAAAGAACAGAAATTTAAACACATGTTGGAGCCAAACAAGGCATAAGAAAAAGAAATTCAGTTGAAGTTAACCACTCGTATCCGTTTTTACTGATATTATCTCTATAAATAGAGAATATCTTCCCAAGAAAAGCCTAAAAAGATTTGTATTCATGCCGCTTGTTTAAAAGCTATGAATTTTTCTTGATTGCGCGCGCTTAGAAGGAGCCTCACTAACACCAAAGTTTTTGTATTTCGGTAAAAAGAGAGAGAACTCTTCTACTTGAGTAACTAGATTTTTTGTTTTTAAGAGCACACCGTAAAAGCCGCACCCAAAAAGCTGCTTCAGAAAATAAGGTTTTCCTTAACGAAATGAAAATCTATTTACTCAAGAAGTAGAAGAGTTGAAAGTCTGAATACTTTTGTGATATGTATTCAACACCAGCACAGTTGCAGCCCTTATCTCCTTGTTTTTACCGAAATACCAAAACTTTGGTGTTAATGCGGCTCCTTCTAAGCGAGCGCAATCAAGAAAAATTCATAGCTTTTAAACAAGCGGCATGAATACAAATCTTTTTAGGCTTTTCTTGGAAAGATATTCTCTATCTATGGAGATAATATCATTAAAAACGGAGGGTTACGCTTCGGAGTGTTCCCTCGTAAGACATGTTTTCAAAATTAGTTGTTTCGTAATACCCATTTATTAAGTGTCTTTTCAGATAAGCAAATAAAAAGATGTTGTGGCTGAATAACAGAATAGTGTTTATCTGTGCTTTATTGACTATAGCCTTTTTGCCCCTGTCTGCAGAACGAATTGTAAAAGAACAGAAAGAAGAAACAGAAGAGCAAAAAGAGCCACCACCTCCAGATCAAAAAACTCGATCACAAGAACAGTCGATAGCGCAAAGTCGGTCACCGGTGAGTATAGACTTAATGAAGAAACCCAATAATCCAATGGTTTTTGTAGACAAGCGCCTTTTTTAATCTCAGATGGCATGAATTTGTACAAACCTATCTAAAACTCTGAAAACGGCAAACTATTCGTCTTTATTTATCTACATGTTGAACATTTTTCAGGTTGCTTCATTAGCATTATCTCCACAGTGTAAAGAAGATATAACAAAATATTGTAATAAAGGAAACCAAAGAGCAATTAGTAATTTGAAAGTGTTGCAATGTATTGATAATTTAGATGATGTAAGTTGAACTATCTAAAGTAGAGTGACATTTCTGATATTTGCTCTTTGTTTACGTATAGGCTGTCCATCTGATTAAAGTAGAGTGCCAACATGTAAGTTATAAAGAATTTGACTTTTAAGAGAAATTTATGTGAATGTTCTTTTATATTAAGCTTATATACGAGTTTAAATTCAATATGACAAAGGATGAGCGATTTGATGATGCAGCACGACAACAATGCAAGAAAGATATTGACCAGGTAAAGACAATATTTGAAATCGATAAAAAAATTATGCTATCCATTATTTATCCACCATTTATCCCCAAATGGTGGATGATATTTAGTGTATAGTTGTCCTTAGACGATTAAACTATTAGAAAAGTATTATACTAATACTCTTTTATCTTGTTTAGTTAGAATGAGATATTTTTGTTTTTATTTCAGCTGAAAGAATGTGAAATGCATGAGGATGAACGTGGAACGGGTCGTTTAATTTCGTGTTTATTCGATCGTTTAAGCAACATAACAGAGGACAAATGTCGTTATTTTATTAATCAAATGCAATCGGTTATTTTTAATGATTGGACTTTAAGTGAATATTTTCTAACAGAATGTAAACCTGATATAACTAAACTACAATGTGGTCGACTTGATGATGACAATAAAAAAAGGGTAAAAATACGTTTCTTACCCATTTAGTTGATTATTTTTTTAATTCTTTGTAGCTTAATCATGATCAAGGAGCTGTTGTCTCGTGTTTGTCAACGAAATTCTCTAGTTTAGTTCCAGAATGTAAAAAACAAATTTTTAGATTAGCAGAAATGCAGTCTGACGATTATCATACTGATCGAGCTTTATATCATGCATGTCGAGATGATCGAGAACGATTGTGTCCTCAAGTATCTGCTGGAAATGGACGAGTACGTATTATCATGTTAACAATAGTCTATGGTACATACTTTAAAATTTCAACTCTAGGTATATCGATGTTTATACGAACACAAATTTGATACAGCCATGTCGATGAATTGTCGGAAAGAAGTGCAACGTCGGCAATCGTTGGTAGTAGAAAATGTTAACATTGATGTACCGTTCATTCGTGCATGCGAACGTGAAATACGCGATCATCAATGTAGAAATCGTACATATGCCAATAAGCAACAAACAGAAACTGATAAACAGTTAACCGTAGTTAATTTACTATTGTGTTTGGAAGACACTTTTAAGAAAGGTACGTATTAGTTTTAGTTATTTTTCAACAGAATTTTTCTTCTCATTTGTTCGTCTTGGATAATAGTTTATTAGGGACTGTAAGTTAAAAGTACTATCTAAAGTCTCACATAGGCAAGAACATTAAAATATAAATTTTTAAACTAAACGTTCACTGAAAGTAATTTTCAAGTAGAACTACGCCGTGATTATTTAAAAACAAATTTTGCAGAGACTTAATTATAGTGTGCTTTTTTATGTTTCTGTGCATTTGTTGTTTGTCGTTTAGGAGAACAAATTGTAGATAGTTGTCGTCGTGAGATGTTGACGCATCGACGAATGTTAATGTCTGACTACACATTGTCATCAGATATAAAAACTAATTGCAATACAGAAATGACTAATTATTGTGGACCATGGTTGATAGCTGGAGCGGTTGGTACCGCGGAACAAAGAAGTGGCCAGATGTTACATTGTCTCTTAAAAGAAGCCAGAATACGAAAAAATAAATTCGATAAAAAATGTTTGGCATCTGTAAGTACTTTCTTATTATAAGGCAGAGAATATTTGAAGAAAAATGTGTTCTATTTCTAGCTTCGAACACTAATTCGTGCTGCTGATCCTGGTGAAGATGTTCGAGCAGATCCTGTATTAGAACGAGATTGTCAATCAGTTATTAATACAGCTTGTTCACGTATGAAACCTGGCGAATCAAAGTAATTTATATATTTTATTTCTTGTACCTAGTTTGTGTATTAGAACGCGAATACATTATTTTTTATAGTGTTATTATGTGTCTGTTAGACAATCTGAAAAGCAGTCAAATGACAGAATTATGTGAAGATAGATTAATGGAAATAAGCTATTTTATTGCGAGAGATTGGCGGTATGATATATAAAATTATTGATTATGTTTCGTTTGATTGTTAACTATGCTATTTCATTCTTAGATTAACACCAAAACTTTTACGATCATGTAAGAGTCCTTTAGAAACCTATTGTTCATTAGAAAAAGATTGGAGCTTAGACAAAGATATGTCTGACACGAAAGTTGGCTATTTATTAGGATGTTTGTATCAGCAACGTGAACAAGTAACTTCGATACACTCACACACATACAATATACACATATTTATTTCAATTTTAATTTTTTAGTTAACTTCTGAATGTGGCTCTGAACTTCAACGATTAATGCGAATACGTTCAAAATCGATTAATTTATTGCCGGAAATAGAGGATGCATGTATACAAGATTTAGGAAAATTTTGTGAAGAATCTGATCATAAAGGAGATGTGTGTATAATTTTGAATAAATTTAAGAATATATTTAATTGAATGATATAGTTATTTTCATTTTTTAGGAATTAAAATGTTTGCAAGAAAAATATGAGGAACTGGACTCTACGTGCCAAACAGCAGTTAAAAATTATACTGCAGACACAATGACTTATGCTAGTTTGGATTTTCTGTTAATGAAAGCGTGTGAACCAATGATACAACGATTTTGTTCGGTAAGAGATAAAATTATATTAGAAAAGTTATATCAACAATCTTTTTTTATTGAAATTAATGGTATTTCTAGAATGTTGAAAATGGTAATGAAAATGATATGATACGATGTTTGGTTCAAAATAAAAATGACGGAACCATGGATTCGCGATGTAAAGCTGGTATTGAACATCATCAAATTGTAAGAATGTTTTTTTGGTTTGTTTCCACTTATGTTTAACGGTTTTTATTTTTATATTTCATCTTGTTTTAGACAAGTATAAAAGATGTCTTTTTAAGTAGACAATTCCAGGCACAATGTAGTTCTGAAATTACTGATCATTGTCCAAAAAAACGATCAAAGTAAAACAGCGATTAAATTCTTTCGCAAAAAAATGTCATAGAAAATATTTTTCTTTTTAGAGCAATAATTATTGAATGTTTGGCTGATCTGATGTTAAAAGATGTATTGCAGCCACAAAAAACACTAAAGATTGGCGAAAACTGTCGTAATGAACTAAAATTTGAACTTTTTCAACGAGTAAGGAAGATGAAGTCATTTTATTTTTTTGCTCTTATAATTCTTGTTTGTATCTCTTAGGCTGAAAATATTAATCTTGATCCATTGATGAGACGAGCGTGTAAAAAAGATATTGAACAGCTTTGCAAGGAAGAAAAAGCTGGAAATGCACAAGTATGTTGTTGTTTTTCTAATGTTTTTACTATCAAATTAACGGCCTTTTTGAATGTTTAGATTATTGATTGTTTAAAAGAAAATCGTGATAAGATTCGATCAAAAAATTGTTATACTAAATTGTATAAACGAGAAAAGTTGGACATTTTATCACCAGAAAATGATTACAGTTTAAAGACAAGATGTTCCGATTTTATTGCAGTATGTTCATAGAACAAGAATTATTTGTATTTCATGTCGATTATTACTATTATTTTAGAACTTTTGTTCAAACCAACGTAAACAAAATATTTTATCATGCTTACGTAAAAATATAAATCAAGCGACAATGCCACCAACATGTCATCGTGTCGTGATGCATCGATTAATGATATTAAATAGCGGTAGGATGGATCTAAAATTTATGTAAAAAGGGTTTCAGTCTAATTGGGGCAAAAGAGCAAATATTTCTGGAAAAATAAGAGCAAAATTTATGAAAAGAGACTATGTGTGTCTTTTGTGAATATTTAGATGCTCGTTTCAATGGAGCATTGCAAAAGAACTGTTACCAGGATATACAAACGCATTGTAAAGACAAAATAATTACTGACGATGACTCAGATGAACAAGAAGAAGAAGAACAAAAATTGACTGAAAACAAAGATAATGATGATGGCGATGTAATTGATCGTCAAATGGGTGGTCGTGTTATTGAATGTTTACGTTCAAAATATGCTGATTCAAAAGATAGTGTATTACAACCGCAATGTGTAACTGAGTTAATTGATGTTATACAAGCAAGTAAAACTGACGTAAAATTTGATGTACAATTATATAGTAATTGTAAAAGTATACTGGCTAAGCAATGTCTTGGTGTTGATGATGACAAAGAAGATTGTCTAAAATTATTATTTCAAAAGGGTGCCATTGATGATGGCAAATGTAAAACACAAATTATTCGAATAATTAGAGAAGGTGAAGCGGATATACACGTTGATCGTGCCTTAGCCAGCACTTGTCAAGTGGATATTATGAAATATTGTAACGATATTCCATTAGGAAAGGGAAAACAATTACAATGTTTGTTAACTTATGCTGATAAATCATTAACAAAAGAGTGTTCAAAAATGTTAAAGAAAAGAAAAGAATTATGGGACCTAAGTGGAGTAAGTAGCCACACATTTTCATAAACAGTTTATCATCAAAGAGTGTTTGAAGAATATTATTTGAACAGATAAAACTTGAGTATAGTATTTCTGTTGAAGTATAACTTTGAGAGTATAACACTTACGAGGAAAGGACACCAAGTGATAAATCGCTTCTAGCTTAAAACTTAGTGAACAATAGGTAATCGAGTGTGCTGATTCCGATTACTAACATGAGACGGGCCGCTAGGCCTCCAAAGACTGGATTTCCAGAAAACCAGTTTTCCAGAAACTCCAAGAGCTCTCCAGAACTTTTCTTAATAAGTTAAAATTGTAGCGCGCGAAATTCTGAT